CATTATCGGGGAAGGGCATTTAAGGTAGCCACTCCAGTATTGCTTAGATTGCCAGTTGGTGTCATCCTTGTAGATCTCTGGAAATCTCACTAGTGCCAGATCTTTCCTCAAACCTATAATGGCTCTCTTTATTATGGTATGCTCTCCTCTGTTCTTCCCCCAACTCAACTTTCCTGCTCCCCCATGTCCTCCTCTCCCCTCCTCTTCTCCCCCTCTCTTTTTCCTGCTCCCTCTTCCCTCCTCACCATGATCAGATCTTGCCTCATTCCCCTTCTCTGGGGTACCATGCATATCTCTCTTAAGGTCCTTCCTGTTTCACAGACTTTCGGGCAGGACCACAGCAACTCTTATAAAAGAAAATATTTAATTGGGCTGATTTACAGTATCCTTATTAGCACATAGTGTTTCCAATTTTCAGAAGAGAGGGGGTATTCATTGCACTTAATAATAAAAAGCAAGGTCATTATTGCAGAAAAGTTCAATTTTCTCTGAAGTGTAAATTGTATTTCATTTGACACGGATTTACTAAGAGCTTCCTCTCCACCAGGGTCAGCCTTAGGCATAAGGAACATAGAGATGGATGTACTGGTCAAAGGAGTCAAGTTTCTCATCTGGTCTCTAAGGCAGCATCCACACATAGAGTGTGAGAGGAGCTCATACTCAAAGATGTGTCAGTAACTGTAACATGGCTTTTAGAACAATGTTCAACAGTTACTTTTCCACATAAGATAGGACAAATAGGAACAAATAATATATTTTGTACCATACTAATATATAAGTACCATACTAAACTGGAATACATCAACCACAAGAAACACTCAAGACCTTATAGAAGACTCACAGATATGTTTGTAATTTTTTATGTCTAGATGATTATGTCAGTGGCTGTCAAGCAGCATTGGCGCCACCCAGACCAACAATTTCCCACGTCCACTGAAAGTGGACTCAAGGTTTTCACAGCTGGAAGAAACAGAGAGGAAATATTTGCAGCAAACTGCATATGGTGTGGTGGTATATATCTGTGATCTTGGCATTGGAGAGGTAGAAGCAGGAGACTCCGAAGTTCAAGGGCATTTTGGCTACATATCAAGGTCAAGGCCAGTTTAGGATACAGGAGAGAGAATCTGTCTCAAAAAATTAGAATAAATACATAAAAGGGAGGAAGAAGAGGAGGAGAAAGACAGCAGAAGGAGGGGGAGGAGAAAGACAGCAGAAGAGGGAGAAGGAGAAGGAATAATAATATGTAAATACGTTTATCTCGTGGTCCTTCCCATAGTTAGAGAACATTAACTTCAAACAGTTAATAAGCAATCAGGAACTACAAGGGAACAGTTAAAGTTCTCCTTTTTAATTGTATGAATGAATTGTAGATATGTAATAAAGATAACACATGTAAGGGAGAACTTCATGTCTGAGTATTCACATATCTGATTACCTGATTCCCAACATAAAGGATTTGAGGTGGTTTATAAGGATCATGGAAATATGACAGCTCATCCTCGAATGATAACCCTCCTCTCACGGCCTATGTGGAAGCTGGGTGGAAAGCCTTTAAGAGCAGGAGGTAGTAGATGACGTCACGGAAACATCGTTTTCCAAACACAACAGGGCAGAGGTGGACATGAATCCACAGAGCATGTGAGGATGCTCAAGTTCCCGCACAAGCTCAAGCTCAAGCCAGACAAAATGCCAGCACAGAGGAGGGAAATGGAAGGAAAATCCCATCTCTACCCATGAAGTGCTTTGAAATTGCTAGCTTCATGCAGAGGGGATATAAGTTTTCTTCAATGGAGTGACACTAGGTATTCAAATCACGCTCTCGGGCAGACCACGTGCTCAGGAGTAGTTGGCAAACACAAATTGGACTCCATGTTGTTGTTTTCCGGTCAATTTTGTGTTGGAAGGTGGTTCTTTGGTTTTGTTTTGTTTATTTTCAAGAGATTAAAAAAAAGAACAAGACATTAGTCAGGGAGGATCTGGGAGGAGTTGAGGAGGGGAAGACAATGATCAAACTATATAATGTGAGAGTCTCAGAGGATAAATAAAAACATTAAAATTATAGCTTGGGAATGGTGGTACAGATTTGGGGGATTTAGGCAGAAGGATTTTAAGTCGGAGACTAGACCTGGAAACCTTTTAAAAGCAAAGCAATGAACCAGGTAAGGCAGTTAGATGAGAGCACACATCTTGGATAAGAAGCATTTCCTCAAATAGCTCATATTTTATACACTTGTTCTCTGGCCAGCATCATCCTTTTTGGGAGTTCCTTCAGGGATGTCTTACTAGAAGAAGTGGGTCACTGAGGGTAAGTTCTTGGAGTGTGCCATGCCTAGCTCCTCCCTGACTGCCACAAGGTATAGAAAGTCCTCTGCCATGTGCTCCCACCACCATGATGCCCTTGCCAAGCACACCACTATAGGCTAAGCTACCACACAATGAACCCTCTGAAACTCTAAGTTGTCTACGTCTGGTATTTTATTCACAGTAACAAAAAGCAAAAACAAAATTGTAATCAATACACTCAATCAAGGGCATCTATATTAAAAACAAAAACAAAAAAACTCAGTACGGCCTCATGCTTCCTGGGGAAATACAGTTTAAGATTCCCAGGAAACAGAAGAGGTTATTTTCCCTCATTGACTCTCTCTCACATTGCAGTGGAAGATCTAGCTAAGGCAATTAATCAGGTAATAAAATAAGTTTAAAAGCATCTGTATTACCTCTGAAGAGGTAAAACGATTTGCAAGAAATCCCTGATAAAGAACTAAGTAGTAAGGCTTACAAATGAGCACAGCTAGGGGGCAGAAAATTGCAACAGGGAGAAAAAGGAGAGATGGAGGGCTGTGAGAGCACAAAGAAAATGTGAAGTAGCTTTTAAGCAATCCATATGCAGAAGCTTTATATGGCTTCTGAATCAAGCTGTTAAACACACACACACACACACACACACACACACACACACACCATACAGCAATTCACAAAGTGTAAACTATGAAGTTTTGGTAATAAGACCCTTAGCTATTCTTAGACATAAGAACATAGTAGTCATGCATCTGAAAAGAACCCTATATTTTGGAGACATTCTAAGATATTTATAATTCACATGATGTCTGAAATTTGTTTCATAGTAATGAAGGGAGGAATAGATGTGTCAAGGGTTAACCTTGTGTTGAAATCACTGAAGCTTGGAACATACATGTTCCTTATCCTATTCTTTCTACACTTGTGCATGTTTTAAATTTGCAATAATGAAAACTTCTTAAACAAAAGAATTTTAAAATGAAGAAATACTTTAAGTGACAAAAAGTGTTTGCAAAAGTTTATAAAGTGATGGGGTAATAGAATAAAAGGTTAGACAAATGAGAAGGAAAAAACTTACAATTAGTATCTCCTAAAGATCTACACACAGGCTACTGGTGGGTTGTGAGTTTGCCTAGAACGTCCTATACTTTAATATAAAAAGTGAAGTATTTCATTTCCAGCATTTATGATGGAATCATTCAGAGAAAGTTGTCAGCTTAGTATTTTATCAACTGGTAATACTGGAACTCTTCTGACACCAAACCCAGGCTCAGGGTGAGGAAAATGATGGATTTTTGTTGATATCTGTGTAGAGAATGTAGAAATCACCCAGGAAGGGGGAGTAAATAGAAAGCAGTTCTCAGACCATAGAGAGACCCGGGCTGGAAGGAGAAACTTCTGGGAGAACCTAGGTGATGGAATAAAGGTCACACAAGCCTAACACACCTAAAGCCCTAACCCCGGTGTTCCCTTCAGAACTCACTGTCTTCCCATCTTCTCACCTCAGTAAAGACAACTCTTTCCTGTCAGGTAGCTGCTAGAGCTGTCAATCGTGGGGTTGCTGGACAGCTTTTTTTTCCCCACTGTCATCTAGCCCTGCAAGTCCTGCAGCAAAGTCTGTTTTAAAATCCATACAGAATTCAATCCTTTATCATCCATCTCCTCTTCTGCTGTAGTTAAGTACAGCTAGCCCTCTCTTTGCTTCTATCCATTTTATTGTTTTACGGTGTGTGTGTGTGTGTGTGTGTGCATGTGCATGCGTGCATGCGTGTGTGTGTGCATGCGTGCATGTGTGTGTGCGCGTGTGTGTGCGTGCGTGCCTGTGTGTGTGCATGCGTGCATGAGTGTGTGTGTGCATGAGTGTGTGTGCGTGCGTGCGTGCACGTGTGTGTGCGTGCATGCCTCTGTGTGTGTGTATGTGTGTGTGTGTGTGTGTGTGTGTGTGTGTGTGTGTGTGTGTAGGTATGTGTTCATGTGGAGATCAGAGGACAACTTGCTGGAGTTGCTTCTCTCCTTCCACCATGTGGGTTCCACAGATCAAAAAGCGTCACTAGGCTTGGTGACAAGCACCTTGACCCACTGAACCATGTCAACACCTACTTCTACCCTTGACTGTCTATTCCTTTCTCCAGGCACCAGTGGATGAAAGTATATAGCCAAGTATATAGCAACTTCCCTTCAATTCAAAATTCAGTGGCTTCCTCCCTCACTCAGAAAAAAAAAAGTTCTGACAATGGCCTAGAATTCCTCCTAACATCTGGCTCTCCCTGGTGCTGTCCCCCCCCGTCCCCGCAATGCCCTCAGCCTGGTGATGGTTCCCTTGCTCTTCCTTGTATGTGTCCAGCAAACCCATTCATTAGATATGGAATTTGATCCTGCTAATTCCTCAGCGTGGAATGCCATTCTTCCAGGGTTTTGCTGTTATTGTTTATTTGTTTGTTTCATCAGTTAGTTTCCTAAGTATTGCTTTGTGAGAATTTCCCCCGTCGTTGTATATTAAGCAGTAACTGCTTGGTGCTAGAGAGATGGTTAAGAGCACTGGCTGCTTGTCCAGAGGACAGGGGTTCAAGTCTCACCATCCACACAATTGTTCATATGGTCCAGTGGGTATGGCACCCAATTCCAGCCTCCATGGACACCGCATGCACTTGGTACACAGACAGACATTCAGATAAACACTCATACACAGGGAATAAAAATAATCTCAAAAACATTTTTAAAAAGCAATGCCTCTCTCCAGAATTCTTTTCGTAACATGTGTGTTAAGTAAAGTTACTAATTTGCTATTAAAACAACTTCCAAATTTTAGCAGCTAAATATGGCAGGATGTATGTTCATGTTCCTATAAACATCCAAGAGGCTCCTCTTGATTGGGCAGCATTTTCAGGTGTCTTATCTTTCACTGGCAATTCTGGTCCCATGTTTGATTGCATCAGGGCTCTTCAGTCAACTTGAGCCACTGGTGTTGCTGTTGTTACCTGCAGCGTCCTCCGTCAGGCAACAGAAAGCAACATCAGAGTTGGTTTTATTCATTGGCCACTGCTTACGGTCACGTGGTTGTCCTTCACTACAGGAAAATCAGAACATAAATGCTCTGTGCCCAGGGGGAGAAAAGAAACAGTATGACAAGCAAGGGACACCAAATAAATATCTGTGAAATATGAAAACTGTGCTCATTCCCTTTTAGATTTCCCATGAATTAAAGTGCAGTACTTCTGAGCAATATAGCCCTCTCCTTCTGGCACTGTGGCCAGTAATCTAGGAAACAATGTATCTAATATCAACTAATATTAACTACTGGAAAGGAATAGGAGGGTAGCTACAGTATAAACTCCTATTTGGAAAAGACAAAAAACAGACCCCTCCAAGCTCCTGGTCAATGTTTTCTTTGGTCATATTAAGCACATTATAAAGTCCATCTTCTCAGAGGACCCCTGCTCGGATGTGCAATGAATGAATTCCTTTTTTCTACTGCTCTCTGTAACTCCTGGCTCTTCCTGCTGGTGTGTCTTTGTGTCTTTATCCTCCATGGTCCTATCTGGGAATGGAAACTATGGCCTCTCAGGAAAGAGGAGTCAAGAGCCACTCCCTAGTGGGGCACTGTGGAGCCCAAAAGACATCTTAAGACCTAGATGGTGAAAGGTTTAGGTTTTTGATCTGGGATTATCCTTTCTTTGGTTATTTAATTTTTGAAAGAACTAAGGAAATTATTGGTCCATTTGCTGTTAATCAGTTCCATGTGCAAAGACACAAACTTGTGGTTTTTTTCCTAATACAGCTCTCAAGCCTGATTTACTATCAAGCGTTCTTGTCTGGGTGCCTCTGTCTTCCATAGACTCACAGTTCTCCAAGGTAATGCACACGAGGTGGGAAAGCCACATCTTAATTTAATTTTTCCCCCTAGTTCAGATCATTTTGTTTAATCAAAACATTTTACTGGTTCTGTATTCCGCAGAGACCTTTTTACTCTACATTTCAATGCTTAGCTACTTAGTAGCAAATTGAGTTTTCCTATATTCTGATGCCTCCAAATTTAGAATAATATTTCCTTTTCAATGCTATTTGTAAGCAGATCCCTTTCTGGTTTTTACCTCTGTAAAGAGGAAGTTGGTAGTAGGTGGCATATTCCCACCAATAACTCTTCCCCCAATCATTTCTGCTACAGATGCCGGTTTAGCAGGCACAGTGATTGTCTTCCAGGTTATCACAGGTGGGAGAGAGGGTCTATTCACAAGTGTCCCGAGCAAGAGATAGATACTCATAGTTAATATAATAAGAGTTAAAAATTTTATCATGCTGAGGGTCATCACATAAGGCTCACACTCTAAGTTCCTAAGCCTGTCTCCCCAAGGCTACTCACCTGTGCAATATATCTTAGTTGAAAGTCAGGGTCCAGTCTCTAACACAAGTTTCTGATTCAAGGGTCAAGGTCTTGGGGGAGACTCTCCAGCTGTAGGGAAGAACAAGGTGGTGTTTCTCCACAGCTGAGCACTGTCCAGTGGGTGTTGTGGAGTTCTAGGATTTCTGGTTATCTTGAGTAAGTGATGTCACTGGGTTCCAGTTATCAGTATAGACTTGGGTGTAGCGGGGTTCCTGACTTAGCTATTTTTACATGTCTAAAAGACATGTTTTTACTATGTTCCTTACAACAGGGATAAGGAAAGCAAGGTCAGAAGTCCTGTCTTTAACCTCCTGTGATGGCTACTCTTCATGGTTAATGCCACTGAATTTAAGACTTAGGAAACAAACCTGTGCTTATGTCTGTGGGAGCATTTCCAGGAGGTTTAACTGAGGAAGGAAGGTCCCCCACCCTGAATGTGGGGGGCACATTACATGGGGGTCCTAGACTGAGTGACAGAGAGAAAGCACATGGGGCACCAGCATTCATGTCTCTGCCTCCTGACTGTGCACATGATGTAACCTGCTGCCTGATGCCACCACGGCTAGAGACATTCTCAGTGCAGTGGCTTCCTGACATGATAGACTGTGCCTCCTGTAGTTGGCCACTCACTCAGTGCCTCCTGTAGACTGCCACTCACTTACAGTGTTTCCTGTAGACTACCTCTAACTCATAGGCCTCCTATAGACTGCCACTCACTCAGTGTCTCCTGTAGACTACCACTCACTCAGTGTCTCCTGTAGACTGCCACCCACTCAGTGCCTCCTGTAGTTGGCCACTCACTTACAGTGTCTCCTATAGACTGCCACTCACTCAGTGCCTCCTGTAGACTACCACTCACTCAGTGCCTCCTGTAGTTGGCCACTCACTCAGTGTCTCCTGTAGTTGGCCACTCACTCAGTGTCTCCTGTAGACTGCCACTCACTCAGTGCCTCCTGTAGACTGCCACTCACTCAGTGCCTCCTGTAGACTACCACTCACTTACAGTGTCTCCTGTAGACTGCCACTCACTCAGTGTCTCCTGTAGACTGCCACTCACAGTGCCTCCTGTAGACTGCCACTCACTCTGTGTCTCCTGTAGACTACCACTCACCCACAGGCCTCCTATAGTCTGCTACTCATATACAACATGTCCTGTAGACTTTCATTCTAATGTTTCTCAGGTAGGTCAGTAAATATTTTTTCAAGTAAAATTTCAAATTTCTACTGTATCCATCATGCCTGTAAAATCAAGCATAGTTTGTTTTTTTGTAGTTTGACTTATTTGTTTTCACAGGCATCTGTATCTATATCTCTACCTATTCTGTCCTGTATAGTTTTACGTTAAGTTGACACAAGCTAGAAATATCTGAAGGAAGGGAAGTGCAATTGAGAAAACGCCTTCATAAGATCCAGCTGTAGGGCCAGCCTTCTCATTAAGGCCTGTGCTGCCTGGAAGACATCCACAGACACACCAGATCCCATTTGGCTCAGGCGGGTGCTAGCCACCAGAGGCCAGCCTGGGTCCTCAAGGCCTGGGCTGCCAGGAAGACATCCTTGGGACTGCCTGGGGGCCTTTGTGGCACCGAGAGTGTGGGTCCCGTTTTGATAAGCATATACGTGGTAGAGAAATGGATGAGAGGGAGAAGCAGAGTGGTCTGTGTGCCGTGGAAAGAGCAGAACTGAAGAAGTGAAGGTGGTGAGGAGTACGTAGATGTGGGTGGCCCGCTAACACAATTTCCCCCGACCCCACCCACACACACACTTGGGGAAAATGGTGGCACCGTGGGTGAAGGGAGAGCTGGCTTTGCCTCTCACCTGAGGGATTGTCCTAGTGGCCTAGATTGATCAGCTATCACCGGGCCCACAGTCAGACCTTGGGTTGGCCCACCCTAGCATCTAGCCCATCTAGAACCTGCTGGAGCTCATGAAGGGACTGGTCCTGTAGAACAATATTTGGAGGATTTCCACAACTCAGGGTGGCCGAAAGGAGCTTTGGTGGGGATCCAGTAATGATGGTGTCCCAGAAACCAGAAGCTTTGCATCAGACCAGTGGCTTATTTGCAATGAACCAGACCTTTCATCAATTGACAACATCTAACTGATTCCATTTCTTCCATATTGTGACTAGAATAGCAATGAGCAGAGACGTGCATGTATCTCTGTAGTATGGTATAGGATTCTTTGGGTATATGCCAAGGCCCAGCCTAGCTAGATCATGTGGGGGTTCTAATTTTAACTTTTTGAGAAATCTTCACACTCATTTCCATGGTGGCTAGGCCAGTTTGAAACCCCATCAACAGTGAGTGATTATTCTCTCTTCTCCTCTCCACACACCAGTCTTTTTTGTCCTGTGTTTTATTGATGACAGCTTTTCTGATAGTGCAGAGATGGGATTTCAAAGTAGTTTCAATTTTGCATTTGCAAAAGTGTTGAAAATAGTTTAGATTTCGAGAAGAGACAAAGAACTTGAAAGTAAGATTTCAGGTTTCTGAGACAGTTGAGCTTTCCCTTGGTCACAGTGAGGTTTCTAGTCCCCGTGTCACCTTTCCTGTCCCTCTCTATGGTTCTCTGATGGGAGCCAGCTCTCCCCCAACCACGCTGCAACACTAAGCATCAGTTCCCTTGTAAACATTTACCACCGCTATTTAGCCACTCCCACAATCCCAAGGGATGCAAACTCAAGAAAAGAAACTTACATTTCCAATCAATACTCAAAATGGGATTTCGGACAGCAGTAGAGCTAAAGCCAGAAAGAGGGAAAGACTCCTCAGCTCCCTCCATGTCCTTCTTCCCAGCTTTCTCATAAAAAATCACATCTCTAAAGTGTTCTAGATGAGCATGAAGCACTTGTTAAGCTGCTTTGTGAAACCTCAGGTCTGGTGACTTTTAAAAAATCAAGAGGATAGAAGGGAGTGACTTACTTGGGAAGCAAGGAATGGCTGCCTTGTAATGATTTTAAAAATGCTTCCTAAGAAGTTACCAGGACAATGCATTGGGTCAGTTAATAGGGAATTCACCTTTATTCAAATGCATCACTAGATTCAACTCTAAGCTTCCTGTGACAGTTCCCCATGTAGCCCTCAAACTCTTCATACGGAGCAGTTCACTATGGATTGAAATGCAACTCTTTTTTTGCATGTGTGCTAGAACACAAAAGCTATTTTGTTTCACAAGTATAACATGATGACTTTTATGGGGGAAGTGAAGAATAATGTATCCAGTGGGGGAGGAATATAATTAGCTTGAATACAGAGTACTGGAATTTGGCCAGGACAATAGCACAGTTATTGGGATGGGGGTGGTGGGAGTGGCTCCGTTATGAATTATACTGAAAATTAAAATAAAAGTGGTTTGCCCTAGAATCTTGAATTCTCATGGTCATCGCTTTTCTTTCTCTTTCAAAGGGAAAATATTTTGTAATAACATTCTGGGAGAATGATTCGCAACATTAGTGCACTGTGCTAAGCCTCAGTCTAGTAACACTTCCCTGGGTCTCTTCAAGCAAGCTTCCTCCATACCCTTGCTAAGATCCCTTCTCTGTGCCCTTCCCATCCACCTGAGTCCGTGGTACATTTTCAGAGAACCCCGAGAAGTCAGGAATAACCCCAGACCATTTGGTAAGGAACTCCCTGGTTCGAGGTACCTGGACTGTGATATAAAGGCAAGTGTGTGTGTGTGTGTGTGTGTGTGTGTGTGTGTGTGTGTGTGTGTGTGTGTGTGTGTAAAACACAACTCCACATGCCCATACATAATAGGATTCTGGACTTAGAGGCCACATGGGATCTCTAAAATATGGAGAGGTCCCCAGGTCCCTTCTATCCTTTATTTGTCTGAGGCTAGTGCTGCTAACATAAATCAAAATCCACAGTTCCTGTTCTTACCTGAAACCTAAATGAGTTTTATTAAGCACACTGTGCAAATCACCAGCCAGAGGAGGAAGACTGAAGAGACACAGTTGAGTGAAGGAAGGAGGCAAGAGTGGGCAGCTCTTCCTATGAAGTTCAGAAGGAAACGCCTCCCATATTGTTTGAAAAACTGGAAAGGATTTCGAACCAAAGTCAGAAAAGAGCTGATATTTCTATTTGAGTGTCAGCTGGGTTACAGGTCCACCAGGAGCACCATGGCTTAGCCATTCAATAATGAAGGTCACAGCACGAGGTTCCAGATGTTGAATCTGTTGCCACATCCAGCCCACACGAGCAGCAGTAACCCAGATGGATGGATGGAGAAGAAAATCAAGAAACTGAAATCTGTCTCATCAGCATCAAAATTGTCCTGTGACTGACTCAGCGGGGCCTCCATTGGGGCAGGCCCTTTGACTGCTCCTTTGACTTGTGTTTGAGTCAGAGGATCCCTGGGAGTAAGGGAGGTAAAACTTTAGAATCCTTTTATATTTTTCAAAAGAAAAGAAGGGAGTATGGAGTGGCTGTGATTTGGGGGTGGGGGACAAGGGGATTCCTGAACAACCCTAAGGACTTATGGCCAGACCCCTCACACCATGTATGTCTGGTGTGGAAGCATGTTCACCTGTAACTGCCCTGCTGGGAGGCAGATCCCTGGGACACAAGGCCACCTAAGCTATCACAGACCCCAACCTCCAGGCTCAGACCCTTGTCTCCCAGAATAAAGTAGAAAACAACAAAGGGAGACAGTTAAAGCCAACCTCTGGCCTCTGCATGGAATACCCCCCCACACACACACACCAAAAGAGGAAGCTTTTGAGTGAATCCCACCGATGGAAAGAATGACTACTGATGGATGGGTTGTTGCTTTAATACACCAAACTCACTACTTCTTCCTCAATTATAACTTCCCCTTTCACCTAGTACTTGATCCCATTATAAAGAATCTTTGGAAACTTCTGTTTTAATAACTATATGATATCCCTTCATGTAGCTTTGCAATTTGGTTTTGCCTGCCAATTCACTAGATGATTTTGTTTGAGATCTTTGTTCTTTCATGATATTAGCTGTGTCGCTATTATACTTATTCTAGTCTTATTTTAATAAAATGTTACATATAAAACCTGTATATGTGCAAAATACATTCTAAGAATTAGGGTAACCAAGTCAAAGGGAAAGATTATTGAGATTTTGTCAAGTTGTTTTTTAAAGCTGTGGATCTAGTTTAAGCATCGAATTCCCATTTTATCCCCCTCCAGCCAAATGGGATACTATTATTTGGTAACTACCTATCAATAAATAGGTGAGCCTGGCATCCCATCCATTTGATTTTGTACTTATGTGAAAAGCAATGAAATTATGTCATGTTCCTTTATCAAATGTGTTAACTGTTTCCTACATTTCCAGTAATGACAAATACTTTTGGACTTTACTCTGTGCCTAGCATTTTGCTGACTTACTGTTGTTTTTAAATCAGAATTTGAGATTTCATTGTCTCCTTCCAGAAAGGAAGCCTTCCAGTTGCATATATTTTCAATTATGTTTAAACAATTTCACTTCCTATCCAAGGAGTCTGGATTTAGAAGTCCAGATTCAACCTCCTAACACTGAAGCTACCTGGAATGATCGTGTCTTCTCTCCATTTAGCTTTATACATTTACAGTGTTTCATTTTTGTTAAACTTCCAATTCTCTAAAGTTTGCATGCCATAATGCTTATTTTCAGACTTAACTTGCTAGCTTCCAACGAGGATTACTACCCAAGGTGATGTACTTAAAACCCAACAAGGGAGAAAGGCAGGTGTGAGCTCTGCCAGCTGTAGTGGGGATCCTCCAGCTAGGACAACATCTCAGACTTCATCAGGATGATGCATTACCATTCATGGTCTCACTTGAGACCAGCAGAAGTGAGTGCTCCGGTTGGTGGTCTATGTCTGTCCAGTCATTATCAGGAAAACCATCAAGATCACTATCCTTTGTTAGCTGACTTGGCAGTGATTCTGGGGGCTGAGTGGATCACAGAGACTGAGCCAGTTAGGATCGTGTTTGGTTCTCTGAAACAACCAGAGAAACCCTCCCCATCTCACAGCCTGGCCACCCTGACGTAATAACATGAATGTTAGGTGCTCCAACCCCCACCCCCACCCCCAACCGTATGCTTCACCAAGTCACTGATGGAAAATTTGGCCAGCCAAAGACTGTTCAAATTCAGGAAAAGCACCCATTGCACAAAAACTTGTGTAAGAAACCAGAAAAAAGAAAGCACATCATGAAAACAAGAGAGTGTAGTGGTATATAGTAAGCCATATAGTAAGCCATCTTGCAGCAATTTTGCTGTTTATTGACCAAATAGCAGAGAGGAGGCAGAATCAGTGTCTTCCAGGTAAAATCATAAATGCAATGGAAGGCACTCCTAAGTTATGATATTTGCAGTAGGTGAGTGGTCCAAACTCTGACCTGACCAAGGTAGGTTACAATGCATTTATAAGTGTTTGTTTGACTCACATTAAATCTTGCAGGGCCCAAAATTTCAGATTTAGATGCAGCCCCTACTGGCAGAGAGAAAACACTGAAGAAGGCAGGACCCAAGAAAAGAAAGAGAAGGAAGAATCAGCAACCAAAAACTGAGTTGCTGTCTCTTCCAGCACGCTCTGCTACCCCAGACTCCTGGTTTTATTTAAAAAGCCCACTGCCTTTGAAAGTACACTGGGTCTTTTCAGTCGCAGAAGATCAAATGATATTAATCAGACCATGGGGCCTAATCCTTCAACGCAACTGTCTCTTTGCATTATAAGCATTCCAGCTCTGGAATGATTTTTATCTCAGCTTTCCTTTTCTCCTTCCTCCCTCTGCCTCTTTCTTTAAGCCTGGAGTTCTGACAATCGGTGCAGAGTATCCTTTCTTGGCCACTCCCTCAATGGGCGCTTCATTGCCATGTGTTATAATGAAAAATGACAGGAAGGGGCAGGCTGCCCACCTCTCTCCTCACTCTTCCCCACCCTCCTCATGCTTTGGCTTGCTCATCCCGGTCCACATTTTAGCGGGAAAACCACATCCTCATTGTTCAGGGTTCTCCCTGCTCATCACCTCGGCTGTCTCCCAATGGTTCTGCTTGATGGATTTGGTCACACGAACCACAGATGTGTTTACAGCTGCTATCAATAGCTTTTCTGGAGGCAATCTTTCATGCAGGAATAGTGTGATGCTCATTTGCATCCTGCCGCACGTTTATAAAGCCCGAAGAGGCACAGACTGTGGTGGGACAGTTCCTCCAGAGGGTCCTCAGACATTTGCCCTGCATCCTGCTGGAACCAGACTAGACTTCTATGGGAATTTAAAGTCACTAGGGGCATGACAATTAAACAGATGGTGGTAAGTAGTCGAATGACACCTTGTCCCGTTGCAGACTCTCTTTCCACAGAGGTGTTAATATGCCTGCAGAAGAATGCCAGTGTTTGATAGAGTTTAGCTTATTTCTTAGGAGAAAGGTGGAAATAATCCCACAAAGTTGGCCAAACTCCATACAATTTATGGCTGTTTTTATTCCTTCTATGCAAGGAGATTTAGAACATGGCAGACGCTGCTAAGCTCTTGAAGTCTTGTTTTGTTCACAAGTTTTTTTTTTAATTCAGGGGAAAGTTTTGGGGAAATAAATTTACCTTACCCAACTGGAGCAATGTGATGAGAGCACAGAGACTGAACGGTGTGCCAGACCAGAGTGCTCCAGAGGTCTCTGGGGGCTTTGGAGCGTTCACCGAGGATGCTTGTGCATTCACTGCAGAGAAGAGCAGAGCTCTGAGTCAAATCAAAATTGCCATGCTGTCTTTTTCATGACCACAAAGATGTTCCTGAACTGTAGGGGATCAGATCCGTTCCACTGCATCGGGTTAGGGAAAAGAAGACTCATAGTTTGCTCTCTCTCCGAGTTCTGTATTAAACTTGAACCATGGTTGGTTAAGACCTATGTTGCAGTTTGTACTTCAGGGTTTTGTTGTTAGGATTGGTTATTTTGCCTTGGAAGTTCTGACACCATGAAGCACTGTGTGTTTTTGCTGGCCCCGGGCTATGGCTCCGAGGTCCTTAAAAAATGAACTCCTCCTACCTAGAGATCTCATCACCACAGATTGGAATCTAAATCACCAAGTTAACTTAACTAAGGCACATGAGACAACTGTGGTATCATTTAAAATTCCTCGCTCTCCTCCATTTGAATTCTGAATTGGGTTTGCTATCCAATGGAATTTTTGTGGCTTTATTTATTTACTCTTATGAACAAATGTCACCTCTTAAAAAGAAGGCATGAAGTAATGCAGGAGGAATCCAGGACCCACGGAAGGCTGGCGCCTCGGTTTTTGCTGTGGGCCCCTCAGCTTTGCTACAGGGATCCTTTGGTCAAGGGCGCCATCTCTCAGCAATGTTGCCTCCTGCAGCCAGAGTACAAGCAGTGTCAGCAAAACCGCCTACAAGTACTTCCTTTCACAGCATACCAGAGAAGCTCCTGAGTTGTACAGTTTTGTTTTAATGGAGGCCACTGTGACTACCTCTGGGTATTGGAAACCCGATTTTTCTCTATTTTCACACTATCTGTGAAATTCATTTTTATAAAGGATAATTGGCAGTAATAGTCCTTTAGTCTGGATCACTCATAATATTTTTGGATGCTTTATTGAATACGTTTCCAAACCTTCTTCCTGCTATGAATTATTTCTTATTGTTTAAGACATCTCAGAGTTGCGCTCAACCTCTCTTATTTAGAGCAAGGAACCTGTGTTTCACTGTAGATCAGTGGCTTCATGGAACTCCTCCATTCATATTACATGGCTGTAATATGAATTACCCGGGGGGTCTGTGGGTGAGTGACTCTTTCCCTGACTTGGGCTCTCTGCATTTTATAACTTAAAGGATAGCAGAATAAAAATTTGACTATCTGAAAATGAATTGTGATGTCCTAGACTGTATCTGAAAACAGTTTTGAACTTTTTTATATGCAGCATCTCTCTGTAATGTATGAAGCTATAGGTGGTGGCTTCTATATAAGCATAAATGATTGTATAAACTTCTTCCTCCCTGTAAAGTGTTTGAGAACTATTTTGGAGCGTTTTAAGGAGGTTAAGGTGATGTTGGATGGACACCTGGTCTATTTGGCATTCATATACTTTTTTCTAAATATAACGACAAGGGAGTGTTACGGTTACAGGTGAAAGGTAAGCTGATGAAGGTACAAGCATTCAGGTTCAAGTCCAGCATCAGCTACAAATTAGCTCTGTGACTTAACCCAAGTAATCTCTCCACTCTCCCTGGGGAAAGGTATGTGTACCTGTGTGTGTATGAGCATGTGTGCACGTGTGTGTGTGTGTGTGTGTGTGTGTGTGTGTGTGTGTGTGTGTGTTGGGAGACAAGCATGAAGGTAAGACAAAGTGAAAAACTCATTCCCCATGGGATTGTGGTCAGGATCCAAGTCAATAATGTACTTGGAAACTTCTTTGATGCATAAGTCCAATTTAGATCAATATATAACAGCCAGAGCATTTCTCACAGCCAGGGAAAGAGACTGAGGTCCATGATCTGTCACTTTGGATGGAGCCCTGGCTTCTACGAGCTGTGTGACATCTGCTCAGTTAGAGAAGATGGCTACACCTGGAGTCCTAAGATGCCAGCCCTAGCTCTTTGCAGTCTTCAGTCTGTGGAGACGGTGGGCAGGCAGTGTGTGCACAGGTTAGCCACTTTGTTTTCACAGCGCGAGCTCTTGTCAGTCTTTGTGTAAGGTGAGTGATCAGGGAGAGTGGGGGCATTGTTCAAGTCTCCTTCACCGATTATTAAAACAAATTAAAGTGTCGTGAAATAAAATCTTCCCAGCAAGGATTCCCGAGTGTGAAGGCAAAGCCCCAAGAATTTCTTCTTTTTCTTTTCCCCACTCACTCATTTCTGAACAATAGCCCTCTGAGAAATATTCAATTCTGAGAAAAGGGTTGGTTTCTGGGTATCTTCCAGACTGTATGCAAACCTACACTGTCCTTCTTTCCTTCCTTCCTTCCTTCCTCCCTCCCTTCCTTCCTTCCTTCCTCCCTTCCTATTTACTTATTTACTTTACTTTGAGGGAGGGTCTCGTTATGGAGCTACTGCCTGGCAGCGTACACTTTCAGGATTAGTTTACACTCTGTAAACTTTATATGGAATAATAATTATATCGTATTATATTTGCATTATAAACTGGTTCGTGTGCTCTATTTTCATGTTTATATTGTGAGTATTATGCAGGCCATACTCTCTACTCTCAATGTGCCCAATATTCATGCTCCATGCATGATCACTAAATGCTTTGACATCAGATAAACATAGGCCAATGGTGACTCTTCTGCCTAATTAATTCCATAAACTCAGTGTATTTGTTCACAAAATAAATGAAGCAACCTGCAGAGTTTCTGAGAGTCTAGGAAGCCATACCTGAGAAGCCTATAGCATATATTGAAAAGAAATGCTAAGTAGTATTTCTCTTCAATTATCTGTTAAGAATCTGGTGGTGGCACATGCCTTTAATCCAAACATTCAGGAGGCAGAAGCAGGTGAATCTCTGGTCTGCAAAGCAAGTTCCAGGACATCCAGAATCATTACACAGAGAAACCCTATCTTGAAAACCAAAACCAAAACAAAACAAAAAAGCCAAATCAGCAAACATTTGATATTTGATGTAGTCTGTCCATGGTCCAGAATCGAGAAGAAAATGCTAATAAGATGGTGCCACCTAGTGGTTGACTCCTAAAACTACAGACAGCTTCTTAGTGCCCAGAAAATTGCTTCCAGTGTATTGCTTTCTTGTTTTGTGAAGCTGGAAAGATAAGCAGGAAGCTTTCCTGTGCATGACTTGTGCCCTGCATCCCTTCTCTCTCTCCCGACCATGAGAGGGACTGTGGACATCACAGTATATTCATCAGAGCCGAGAGCTCTCCTATTACCTTACGCTGTTGCATCTTTCTGGGCATATTCGTTGGTGACTAGTCAGCAATTAGTTCATCTATTAATCAACCTCGGTGTAACAAAACAATGAGATTCTTTTGGATGTTTGCAAGGATAAACATGACCTTCATGACCAGCCCGAATTCTCTTTCCCCATCTAAAAAGGTAGAATTGCTCATCTTCAAGGGGTGGCAGTGAACCCCACAGCTGACAACTGTGACCTTTCTAACTCAGTTATGTTATGTAAGGATTCCCAGAGTGTTTTACAAACAGACAATCCAGTCTTGAATGCCCAAGAAAGAGAAAAGTGAGTAGATTTAGTTATCCCTATCGTATTCATCCACAGGTCTGCAATGGAACCCATGAAGAGAAATTATATATACCAGGAGGGGAAAAGGCCAAATACCCGAGTGTAAAAGAGTGTGATCTTCCAGTGTGAGAACGGTTTCTTGCAAGGTTAGATTTTTAGAGTTAAAAGGTACTCTCCACATTAGACGGTCTGGTTCCTTTCATAGGTTGTAAATAACTCTACGCTTATCTATCTTGTGTGTCTGTGATTTTTGTATTTTAACCTTAATTGCTTTGTTTGGCTTTGTTGCAAGAGAGGTCTGGCTCTATTAACAAGTCAGGTTGTAAAACACCTTCTACAATGTGTCATTTATTGGGAGAGAGTGGGCCCTGGGAGAGAATTAGAAACAGCTGAGAGCTTACACAGGCCCACTGCTACTCCTGTGTTTTAAAGGAAGTTTAAAAGCTCCAGTGGAAAGAGAGAACTCAAAGATGCAGAAAGTTAAGAACAGATGTTGCTCAGCTATGGCACTGGCTGAGATGGACACTGGCCTTGGAGACAAGGAAGGATCATTCTGGAAACCTGACATGCTTTGTCTCTACTCCCTATATTCCCCCTATCACCAGGGAATGGGAGAAGAGAAACACTCCTGCATAACTTAGGCATGTAGAAATTCAATGACTCTTGGGCCAACCACATTGGTCCTTAGAAAAATAATTGCTCTTATTTGTTACACTTGTATGTTTGAGCTCCTTATGTGGGCCACTCTGAAATTACTAATGACTTACACCTTCATGTAATCTCTTGACCAAGGTGAATCCCTCCTTCAAATGGATCTCCGTTACGGAATAACCTTTTTTGCACACTGTGAAAACGTGTCTTTGCCAAGGTGCCTTCTTCAGTTTAATAAAAGAGCTGACTGGTCGGTAGCTAGGCAGGAGGTATAGGTGAGGCAGCAAGATACAGAGGACCCTGGGAAGAAGAAGGCTGGAGTAAGGAGAGTCTAGGGAGAAAGGCAGAGGAAGCAAGAAATAAACATGCCATGCTGAAATAAGGTACTGCCACATGGAACAATATAGATTGATAGAAATGGGCTAATTTAATGTAAGAGTTAGCTAGTGCCAGGCGGTGGTGGTGTACGCCTTTAATCCCAGCACTCGGGAGGCAGAGGCAGGTGGATCTCTGTGAGTTCGAGGCCAGGCTGGACCGACAGCCTCCAAAACAATACAGAGAAACCCTGTCTCGTAAAACCAAAAAAAAAAAAAAAAAAGAGTTAGCTAGTAACAAGCCTGAGCTATTGGCCAAGCATTTATAATTAATAAGTCTCTGGGTAGTTATTTGGGAAGCACCTGACAGAACAGAGCAAATAGTGGTCCCAACCAAAAAAAAAAAAACACTGCCTACAGATCTCCTTTCTACATCTGCCACCATCTTATTCTCACTGTATGCAGAGCAATGCCCTGCTGGGTTCTAGAATCCGGGAGTATAAGATAACTTAAGCAGTGTCTTCTCCAAAGACACTGTGTCTATCATATCAACATGATAAAACTTCCCAAGAAACATTTCAGGAACTTCAAAATATACTTCCAAAAAACTGGAGACTTTTCTGTGATTTTATAGTTAGCCATTTGGGTTTCTAATCTCCTAATTTTCTAATGCTTTGAAAGGAAAGGAGTGTCCATAAATTGCACTTGACTATACAGCAGTTATGAACTTAAAGGCTTGTCTTTTTAACTATGACGGACCAAGTATTCTTGACACGGCTATGTCTTTGCATCCCCAAAGGAAGTTCTAGGTGGTACAGGTCAATTCCCCAACATAGAGTCTTCATATCATGAAGAGATGCAGGAGGCTCGTAGCATACATTTGTTATAAATTTTTTTCATGAGTAAAAGGAGAGCAAAGAACAATATCCTAAAAATGTAAGCCAGTAACAGTCATTTGTTAGCCTTATCAAGTGTTACAGAGTGTACATTTTTGCACTGAAATGCTTGCAGCTTTGCCTGCGCCGTAGCTACATATACATTGGTATCACCACAAACATGTAAGAAATACATTGTACTATGACTTACTGTGGTTGTTAGTTTCGATTGTAGAGTGAACAAACTGTAACATCACCTGGAAAGGGGGTGACCATGAGGAATTTTCTGCAAGGCTGGCTTGTGGGCATGCCAGAGAGGGATCTTCTTTTCTTAAAAAGATTTTCAGATTATATTAATTACATCATTTCCCCTATGCCTTTTCCTCCCTCCAAGCTCTCCCACACACCACCTGTTGCTCTCTTTCAAATTCTTGACTTTTTCTTTAATTGATGGTGGTGGTGGTGCTATCGGTGGTAGTGCCTGCGTGCGTGTGTGCACTTGTGTGTGTGTGTGTTTGTTTGTTACAGGGCTGACCATTTGGTGTTGCATAACCAATTGGTGTGCTCTTCCCTGGGGAAGACCATTCCTCTTGATCTTAGTCTTCCTTAGCTGCCTGTAGCTGTTTTACTAGGGGTGAGGCCTCCTGAGCTTCCACCCTTCCACATTAGCAAGTCTACTGGTGTCACCCTTGTTCAGAAGATGTTCATGCATCCATGTTGGTGAGACGTTATGGGTGTAGGGTCTACTATTTCTAGGAGACATAGTCTCACAACTATCTCCCTGTTCCTCTGGTTCCTGCAGCAAACTGCCTGGCACAGATCAAATGTTCCTTAAGGAAAGAAGTCTCCATTACAACACAGATACATCTGATATCCGCTCCCTTGCCTTCTCTTTCCCACTTCTGTAACGCAAAGGGAAGCACTTACATGCTCTGTGTTTTCCTGTTTTAACATTGCGCAGGTTTTATTCGTATGGGTGGGTCAGGAGAGCTGCTTATTGTGGTTCTAGGTCTTCTCACAGCTCTGGAGTTTCGGTAGCATCTCCACTTTTGCTCTCCCTTGTGTTCATCTGTCTTGCTACCATTGCAGTGTTCACCGCTTGCTGGTTTGGATATTTGTGGATCTGTGCTCCAGGCCACTTCTCTTTTTTGTCACACTTCTTCAGTTCTTGGCTCATGTGCTGATGTAGTTTGTCTTTTATGATCTCACAGCCTACTGATGTGGCCCCTTTTCCTCTGGACATCAAACCAGGAGAGCATTAAGTGCCAAGTGTCTTGTTGGTGTAAATCCAATTAGTATTTTGCTTTGATAGTTCAAAGGCTGGAAACACCAAATTTGCATTTTCCCTGGTTTTTACATTTAAAGCTTGTCTTACTTTTGAATTCGGTAAGTTCCATACCATTACAAATGCACAAGATTCCTGGAATTTTGGCGTCTGTGGTTTGCTGCAAAAACCTTACTTATAGACCTATTCTTTATCAGAGATCTACTCTTTATTCACCTAGGGATGCAAGAATAGCAGTAATTACTGGATCTATTTTACTTAGAAAGAAGGAAGAAACTCTCCAAGTTATTGAAAGGTGGGTGCCAGCAGAAACCTTTCCTCATTTAATATAGCATATCCTACATAAGATAGTTATCCCCTCTACATCTGCAGGTTTTGCATCCACAGATTCATTCACACTGAGGATCAAAGATATTTGAAAGGGGGTAGGATATAGTGGTTGCATGAGTTCTAATTAGTATTAATATACTGCTATATGTCATATATACAAATCTGTAACATATATACATGTGTATTCAAAGGATATGAGTACACCTACATACTTATTCATCTGTGAGAGTCTTGAGAGAGTGTAGAGGTTTTAAATAGTATTGCTTAAAAACCCAGTATTTTGTTATTCATAGAATCTATTTAGTTACCTGTTAGGATACATGGCCACTGATTCTTTTCATATTTAATATATGACTGGCAGAACTAGCCTAATACTCATATTTCTGTCTATGGTTTCTTCTTTTAAGGCAAAAAAGTGTTTATAGATACAGTAAATACTACTGGAGATACATTAATAAAATGGAATGACTTCTCCAAAAACATGTCCTCCCACAGTTCCCATGGGAAGCTTCAGACACTGTCACAACAATAACGGACTTATAGATCTAAGAAAAGAGCAAACAGAGAAAAGAGAGCATATTGAAAACTGTAAGAGTGATTTTTCCCCTTTATTTACTGTCTGTGACATCACACTTTAACATTGTAATATCAGATGTGAAGTCACTATGGACTCCTGAGCCCACTTCTGGAACCACCACAGCATACTTATTCTTAGTTTATTCTTTATTTATTTTACTCATACAAATATCCAGAATTGTTGCTGGGGTCACATCCTAGTGGCACAGAGCTTGCCCATCAGGTATAAAACTTTGAGTTTGATCCCCAGCAGAATATATTTAAAATGTGCAGAATCATGTTTCCCTGTATGTGGATGTATTCAATTATCACTATGTCTGAGGTGCAAAATTAGGCCTGATATAAGATAGCCTTTTTGTCCATTTTTTATTCATAGATTGAAGGATTTTGTGAGACGCAGGGAAGAAAGGCTATTTCAAGGGAGGGTGGGAACTAGAGAAAAAAGTTATGAAAGATACCTTCTCAACTTTTCTATTTTATCGTTCTGTGTCCTCACAAAACTCAACCTACTAGCCTACCTTTCACAGCTTCTCTATGAACATGTTTTGCAGAATTATTTTGTGAGGGAGAATATGGCAAACTATTTTTATTATTTAAGAACACCCCCAGTTTATTCTAGAAAAAATATCACTTTATTAGTGTGGAGCCAAAAATAATCATATAATTATATGACTTGTAATTAGTTTAAATTTTTCATTTTCAAAAACCAAAACCTTCCTTTTGGAAATAGACAATACTTACATTGTTCCAATTTTATTGGAAATTATGACATTGTTTTACTTTGCAACCCATTAAAAGTGAATCGCTTCCTTTATAGGTACAGGGCAATGAGATGACGCTATAGTGTGTATGAGAAGAATGTGAGTACAATACAAACCAAGGAGCAAGCAGTCCCACAGAGGCTATGATCATGGCACTGGATTTATTTTGTAGTCCAAGAAGTGGACTGTTAAGCATCAGCCAGGGTTGACATCAAGAACCCAGAAAGTGCCAACGACAGGGATGGGACATAGAGTGGAAAATCTGCAACCTGTAAGATGGACCCAGGAACTGAAGGCAGGAATGTGGAAAGCCCAGTAAACCTTCCCTTAAGTCTGCACAAGTGTCTAAGAACCACGCCGTTTGCTCTGCGCATCCTCTTCGGGGCACTTCGCAATACCTGTCTGATCGGATTAGGGATTTTAGTTTGTGGAGGGAGTGGACTCATTTTCCCAAAGTGAGATCAGGAATTCGTGACTTGTTATCCATCAGTTTAAAAGAGCTAACTACTTTTATGGAAGATAACAAGTGTCTTGCCCTCTTACATGACAGACATCAGATGTCAGCTTGCAGGGCAATCATCTCAAGTGGGGAAGTGGAGGGAGGTTTGTAACACTAGTTCTAATAGTTCTTAATAATAAAAGCCCGGAGTCAGATATTAGGGGGTGAAAGCTGAAAGACCAGAGAAGCAGAGCAGCCAGCCACTAGAGCTGGCTCTTACTCTATGAAATCCTTAGACTGAAAAGAGACCAAGTTCCTGTCTCATCCCTCCTATATTCCTTTCTTCACCCAGCCATCTCACTTCCTGTCTGTCTGTACAGACCTCCAGACCTCTATGGTTAGCTAGTAGCTAGCTCCACCCTCTGATCTTCAGGCAAGGTTTATTTATTATAGCATAAACAAAATATAACCACATATAGTGCTCACCGCCAGAGTATGAGGAGCCTTGTTCACATCCCTAAAGCCTATGTAAAAGCCAAACAGGCATGGTGGCCATCTTGAAGAGATAGGTGGATTCTAGAATAATCTGTATAGCTAAACTAGACAATGCATAAGCTCTGAGTTCAACTGTGGGAACCTGTTTCAGTGAAGAGCTATCAAGAAAGACATTTGAGGCTTCCATACACATTTGAGTACATATATGGCAACTCCAAGCCATCCAGGGCTACATGACATTTTATTATTATTATCATCATCATCATCATCATCATCATCATTATTATTATTTACTTTTTGAGACAGTCTGTCTACATAATTTATGCTGTTCAGGAACTCACTATGTAGACAAGGCTGGTCGAGAACTCACAGATATCTGTCTGCCTCTGGCTTCCTAATGCTGGGATTAAAGACATGAGTCACTACACCTGGCTCAGGGAATCTGTTTTATAAAAAACAAAAAATCTAAACAGAAGCACTGCAGCTGCACTAAGCACGTCGAGACTTTTTCGTGTCATTATTCTCTAAGTCATACCATCCAGCTAGTTACATAACATTAGGTATTATAAATAGGTAAGGATGGTTTCAATTGTGTCAGAGGTTACATGTAAACACACACACATATTCATTTCATGTTGTGGAACAATCTTTTTGTACAGGGTGGAAAAGTGTCACTCTGATTGGTTTAATAAAACAACTGAATTGCCAAATAGTGAGGTAAGATTTCCAGGCATAGAGGATGCTGGGAAGAAGGGTGAAGATGAAAGGAGGCACCAGGGACACAAAGCAAGCATCATGGGCATTGCAAAGCAAAGGTAACCAAGTCATGTAAAAGAATGTAAATTAAAAGGTACAGGTTAATTTAAGTTATAAGAGTGAGGTAGAAAAAAGCCTAAGATAAAGGCCAAGCTTTCATAATCAATAAGTCTCGTGTGGTTATTTGGGAGCTGGTGGGTGGGGCAGAGAAAGGCTGGCTACAACTTCAGATGAGGGATTTGTAAATCATGGATTTGGGTATCCACAGAGGTCCCTGGCACTAATCTCCCATGGATGCTAACTACTCTATGTTAGTGTTGCTTCATAGAAGAGACGTCTTAGTGTTTGAGGGACTGTGCCTCCAGGTCTAAGATGCCTGCTAGCTCACAGAGCAGAAGCTCCTCAATCTGAATTCCGCATAAGGTTCTCTGAAATTCACTGGGGACCCTGCCTTGTTGTTTCTGAAATGGACAGATGATGTGGTCAAACCATAGTTTGGTTTCAGAGAGATAGAGTTAGAGTTTAACCTAGAAGAGGGTGATGAGTAACGGCAACCCCAGCCAACACAACAACTGTGTGTCATGGAAAATTACAAAGTAGTGGTCTGTTCTGAAACATGTATGAGTGACCAACCATAACCCTAGGCACACAGTCTGAAGCTACCCTAGATAATGGAGTGCATGGTGGAAGAAGATTCATGGATATCGGTTTGTATTTTTGTTGTTGTTGTTATTGTGGAGGATAACAGTGTGGTGTTTTGTTTTGTTGTTTTAGACAATCTCCCTATGTAGCCTGAGATATCCTTGAGTTTGTGCTCTTCTTGCCTCAGCCTTCCTGAGAGCTAGGATTATAGTTGCCCATCTCTGTGCCTGGCTCATCTTTACCCGGTCTTAACTTTAGGTAGTAGAGACTAAAATTCAGGCTTATCTATCTACTGCAAAATTCAATCTAATAGTCACAAAAAACGAACTTCATGCCAAAAGAAGGACATCTATAGAGAAGATGTGAAGGTTTAGCGGGGGCTGGTGGAAGGGATCATTGATTGATATTAAAATTGAAAAGGAGCAACAACAAAAAAAAACCTGTCCCTTACTTAGTTTACGGAATGAAAACAATATTGTCACCGTTCCTCCTGCTTCCACTCACTAGACTTGGTTCCCTGGCTGCTTCTTTTTGCAAAACGCCAGCCTTGCCTCTTGCTTTTATGAAATGGGGTCTTTTGTAGCACAGGCTAGCCTCAAACTCATTCAGTAGAGGATGACTTCAACTCCAATTCCCAAGTGCTGGGATTAGAGGTGTGTGCTGCTGTGCCCATTTCTGTGATATTGGGAATCAAAGCCAGGGCTTCCCACGTGCCAGGCAAGCACTCTACCCACAGACGTACATCTTAGCCTAGACACTACTGCCCTTGGGCTTTAGAAAGTGGCTGGAAACATGGGGAAGCTGCGTGCCCGAGTTTTTCTGCTGAACTGCAGTGCTCTGCCATCTCTCTCCCTGGAACAAACATTGCTTTTGTAATATTCCTTCCTTCCCAGGCTCCATTATCCTATATCTATCTTCTTCACCCGGGTTGCTCTCCTGTGACCTAGTTGCATAAATGATCAAAGTCAGCTTGTAATTCCCTTCATCTTCCCCGAGTCTGTCAGGGGAAAGAGCCTTTCCATGCTACTTCCCAAAGGAATTGTCACATAAGCTTCTGTGTTCCTTTGTTCTTTTTAAATCTACACACGAAGTCAGTTTTCTGATGATTGTGCCTCATCAACAATATAGAAGATGCAAATTCAAGAACTTACTTTTTAGATATCCAGAATGCAGTTTCTTCGTCTCAGCACTTTGGATATTTTGTGCTCAGTAATTCTTGTTGTAGAAGGAGTTTTTGTGCACTGGATCCCACTCTGTAACAAGCAAAATTCGTTGCAGCAATGGTACTTATTTCAAGCATTATATGAATAAAAAAGGTCACATAGTGCTCTACGGAACCAGTTTAAAGAACCAAGTGCTTCACCCAAGTCTTGGCAAGAGAGGAGGAAGAGAGGAGGGAGCACAGAGTCCTTGAATGAGATCAAAAGCGTGCCCTCCAGTTGATTCTAATGTGTATATTGCACGGATGAGCGACCCTGTAAAAAGAGAGAGGTGGGAGGAAGAAGCAGATGAGCAGGAGAAATAAAGCACTGATGTGTTCAGCTACTGACTTACAGGAGATCAGGGAGTCACATTCTCCTTCTACAATGTATCTTGGCTTAAACTGGGCTGCCTCCCTAGGTAAGAAAATTGGAAGAGGGCAGCTACAATGTCCCATGCCACATCTCTGCCACTGATAGCCATCACCTCCAGTGCCCTCCTCCTGTATTATGGGTGAATTCTCCTCCCCAGAAGGCCAGCCTTTCATCTTGTACACTAGACTGTATCCTTTCATGCCAAGGCAAGGTATGCAGTGCAGAGGTTCCTCCATCTTGTACACTTGCTGAGGTCATTTCAGGTTCAACTAGAATTTGATCTCCTTGATGGAGAATCCATTGGGAAATTGCCCAAATCTATTCTAGGAACTTAGCTTCTGTTAAGCTTGCTTCTGCGCAGTCCCCTGAAGCTGTTGACCAAGGTGTCATCACGTGCTGCTCTCTTCTCAGATAGTTCTAGACTGTGTCACCTTGACAACTAAAGGTCACAGTAAGATACAGTCCATGGGGCACACCCCCAGCGAGCCACTTCCTCCAGGTAGGCCCCCAGCAATGCCATCATATTATAAAACCATCAAGGGACTAATCCATTCGTTAATTCAGAGATTCCATATTTTAAACCTCTCAGAAATGCCTTCACAGACACACGTAGAAGTGTGCTTTATGAAACTATTGGGTGTTTCTTAATCTAGTCAAATTAAAACTGGAGGTTAAATTTTTGTTTGTTTGTTTGTTTTCCAAAACAGGACTTCTTTCTCTACATAGTCCTGGCTGTCCTAGACCTCAGTGTGTAGGCCAGGCTGGCCTTGAACTCAGAGATCCATCTGCCTCTGGATTCTTAAAGGTGTGTGTAGACCTGACTTAAAAAAATTTTTTAAGAGTGAAGATAAGTAATCAGATGTATCCCTAATACCTCCAATAGTGTTTGGTATAAATTGGAGAAATAGAAGAATTTCAAAGGAACAAGTCAATAATTTTCAAAAGGTTCACATTTGGTCCAAGGTTGGTGGCTCTGTGTGGCGAGATTGTGGAACTTGAGGACACAGAGCCTTGCTGGAGCAAGTATGTTGCTGGGGAGGGCTTTAAGAGTTTATAGCCTTCCCCTCTTGTTGTAGGGTGTTCACCAGAGAAGAATGCTCCAACATGGGTTTAAGCCAATAGAAATCTTTATTAGTTGGCTCAGTGTTTGGGAGCCCAGTGTAGCCCTGAACTTTTCTCAGGGTGAGTTTTTAAAAACAAACACACACACAAAAAAACATGTTCTGGGATGACATACTTCATTTAACAAGAACAGTTGGCCCAAAGCAGAAATGCAGAAGCTAAGAGGCAAGGTTAGTACATTTTGAGACTTTCCCAGAGCTGTGCACTTTGATGGACTAGACCTTTGTTTTAGTTTTTGGCAGGTGGTGCTGTTTATGTGCTGAGTTTTACAGCCCGGGCGGTACGTTCATCATGGAGTCAGCTGTGCTGAGGTCTAGGGACC